AGACATATCACTGGGTATTTTGGATTTGCTACCAATTACAGAAACCACTTTTATTATAAGACAATTCCTACATCTATTTCAAGGACCAACACTTCTGTGATTCCATTGCTTAACGCTTTCTCATCACCCAAACAAAGCTTTCCTAAAATTAAAACAAAAGAAGATGGAAGAAATAAATAAATGGAAGCTAGCTCATGTTCAATCGTGGTGGCCAATCAATTTCTATGGTTAACTTATATCCTTTGGATTTTTTTTTTTCCTTAGGGATTTGAGCACTTCAATTATCACAAGGACCCACATACAACAATATTTTGTCACCTTTTTTATTTTTATTTTTTTATATAGGTTTATTGTATTTCATTTATCTCATGATCATGACATTAATACACACACACACACACAAATCTTAAATTAACTACTTGTCATGAGAAAAGAGCATCTCAATCCCATTGGAATATGAATATCTCAAAAATGTGCCTCTATATAAAGTTTATATTCTAATAAATGTGACTATTTATAAAGTTCATACCATAAATGTGCCTCTTTATAAAGTTTATATTCTAATAAATGTGCCTATTTATAAAGTTCATATTCCAATGGGATTGAGATGCTCTTTATATATATATACACACACACATATATATATTCTTTTATCTTAACTAGGAGAAAGTTCAAGTGCCACTCGTGATTGAGGTTCAAAATACAAGGTCAGAAATGGCTAGAAAAACTTTGCATATTCAACCGTTGTGTATATATATTTTTTTGTATAAATCTGATATGTCATAATAAGTTTACACAAAATTTTTGAATTATTTATTTTTAGTTCCAGCCGTTGTTTTATGTCTTTTGTGTAAAAGTATATCTCTTAATAACAACAAATCAGTGTCATGCCTTGACCCAACATAATTTTTACAAACCTACTTAACATATGGTTGATTCGTTAATGGAATGAAAAAAAGAGAGAAGATATACTGATTTGGCTATATAAAAAGGTTGTGTAAAATACACAACAATTACATTGGTAACGTGACATTTGGTAGAGATAAAAAAAATTGCAATGTATATTTTATACAAATGAGTGTTTTAATGTAATGCTGGAAATGCATCAAGATTATTAATTGTAATTGCTTTACCATAAATAACCTTAATAACCAATCAATAAATTAAAAATTCTTTCCATAGTTGAAAAATAATATTAAAATAAAGAGGAAAATATATACCCCTGTTTAAAGTGGTTTCCAATAATTAGTAGTACAACAAGATACATCAGCTTTTAAATTGTTGGACGTGGTCTCACAGCAAACACTCGTGCGACCCAGCGGTTCAACGACCGAGACTGTGCAGTCCGGCTCCGATTAATCATATTAATTCTGTGTTTTGAATGAGCTGACACACCAATAAAAGAACACACTGTGTAGTAGCAGTAGTATATGATTGGATTGCAAATGGACAATGTGGTTGTGCCACGTGTATAGGGGAGAAAGTTGTGTGGTCCAGATATCAGATCACAACATTCATTAATTAACCCCCTTTAAGTGCCCTTTTACTTTTTTTTCGTTACTAGTATTTATGTAGCTAGAGGTCTTTACCATTTTGTTGAAGTGAAAAAAACACTTACCTCCTCTTTAATTTTTGTTTGTTACACTTACTTTTTCTATGTTTTAACATATTACACTTATCCTCTTCTAAATTACGACGGATAAATTTTATTATAAAAAATTACCTTTATATTTTTATTGTTATATAAAATTAAATTAAATTGAAATATATTTTTATTGTTATAATTTATCCGTTGCCCTAGTCATCAGTGATGGGCTGAGAAAATTGTACGAGAGATTGGAGTCTAAACAACAGGAGAATAAATAGTAAGAGTATTACTCCTTCGGTCCCAAAATACATGTCTTACTTAGGGAATCCAACTTCTATGACACTGAAGTTTTAATAGTTTTTTATTATATTGATAAGAGTAAAATTTCAAATGTGTTCTTATTAAAAGACAAAATAGTGCTCCGTAATTAGTGCACTTGTTTAGTTAAAATGATAATTTTCGAGTGTTATACGGTAATAATAGTACATCCAAATTTGGAATGAGACATCCTAAAATGAAAAGATGGACAAGTATTTTGAGGCAAAAAAAGTATTAACAATTGATTAGAGGCATTTTTAAAATTTTAACAAAATATATAGATAATTTTGTAAATAATTTTTTTTAAAGTAGTGACAGCTGCCCCACTAGGCCGTCTGTCCCTAAATTGGTCATACTTGTTGATTGTAAAATATTAGAGCATCTCTAATGCAATGCTAAAAAGGTTGACAATTTTTAACTTTGCCAAAAGTTATGCCAATTGTAGCACAAGAAATAGCTACTGCTATTTCAGAGAGAGAGAGAGAGGGGCGGGGTTCAGATTTGGCATATATATATATATTGTGTATATATCTATTGTATAGTTCTGAAAAGATTTCCATCTTCAAAAAGCTTGGCATGTTGATAAAAATTGTTTTAGATTCAATCTCTACAGATTTCTAATCTAATTCAGATTTATTTTATTTTTATTTTTATTTTTATTTTTATTTTCATGTCCAGATTCAAAATTTCTTGACAAAAAAAAAAAAAAAAAAAAAAAAAAAAAAAAAAACAGAAATAGAAGTAATAGTAAAATGTAGATTACGGTGATTACCTCAAAATGCAAAGCAAATTTTGTTACTTTATATTGTAAATAAAAAAAAAATTATATAAAAAAGATTATAAAAAATTTCACCAAATAGGATTTAGTTTGCAAAACAAGAATTACAGTCCTTGATTACTTGATTTAGATAAAAAAAATTAAAACACATACATACAAGTTAGCAGTTGCAGAGGGTCGAAGGGGGCAAGTTTGTGAGTTGAGAGACAGCGGCTGAAGCTTGCGAATGGCAAACCCGAATTGGAACAGCGAGCGATGAAAATTGAAAGATATGGGTTTTGATTTTTTGAACAATCTGAAATGATATGCCGATATGGGTTTTGATATAGGTAATAGGTTTTGAACTTTTGATTCTTGCAGACAGATAGATTAACTGAAATATATGGGTTTTGAACTTCTGATTCTTGTTGATTTTGTAGTTTGCAATTGGGCACACAGAGAGAAAGGGGGAGGGGGGGGGGAGGTTTCAGAGTTGAGAAGGAGAATAGAGATGGAGGCGATTGGGGAGGCCGAAATGATTTGCCCTAAAAATATATATATTTTTAATAATAATATAATCAAATATATATAATATAATATACATATACATATATATAATATAATATAAAAAGATATGGGTTTTGATTTTTCTTTTATATCATTTTGTTTTCTCTCTCTCTCTCTTTTTTTTTTGACCAGATATTTTAGATTTTTGCTTATTTTTAATTAGATTTAATTTTAGTTTTCTTCTAATGTGTATAACTTGATTTGGAATGTGCCTAGTATTAATATTACTGATGCAAATATGAATGGTGGTAATGGTAGTTGAAAAAGAATGGTAGTTGTGTCAAAAAATAGCATTTTGTATGAAATGCACTATTGGAACAGAATTACTAAAATGTAGCATGTTGACACTGTAGTACCTGTCAAAATATAGATTTGGCATGCGAAAATAGTTTTTAGCATTGGAGATGGTCTTATAAATGGAGTAAATCGCATTCATTTGTTTTTTTTTTAATAAAAAGTGACTAAACAACTAAATAAGTTCTCTAAATCTAACTAAAACCTTATCACATTACTTCCAAAAGGACTAATTAACTTCCAATGTTGACATTGAGATAGTAATATTAAAATATACATAGTATTTCATATTTAGTTTCTGTTAACTGTAAATGGGGCAATTAAGGTTTTGGTGATGCTTGCTTAATATCCTAAGTAGTCAAAAGTGGACTCAAAAGTCCAAAGTAAAACCATACATTCAAGGAAAGAAACTTCATAAATGTATGGCAAGTACACACACAGACCTTTCCTAAGAATATATAAGCAATATTTGAATCTGTTCAAACATCCAAGAACAAGAAGATTGAGACCACCACATGTGCAATTTATAACACGAGTCACATGAGAGACTCCCACAAAACATTTAACTCGTTCACTTTAAACCTCTGATAGGTAATATTCAGGTCTTGTTAAAAAAGGCACGTCTTCGAACCACATTTGTCCCACCCAATCTCGTGCCCACACCATTATTTATATTTATAATTATATATATATATATATATATATATATATATATATTATATAAGCGGCTAAAGACAAGCCACAGACGAGTCGAGCTGGCTAGATATGACTCTCACGTGTCGCCACACCTTTGTCTGTATAGCAAGTACACACGCAGACCTTTCCTTAGAATATATAAGCATGAATATGTTCAAACATCCAAGAAGATTGAGACAACATGTGCAATTTATAACACGAGTCCACATGACATTCCCACAAAACATTTAACTCGTTTACTTTAAACCTCTGATACGTAATATACAGGTATTGTAAAAAAGGGCACGCCTCTGTCCCAACCAATCTCGTGCCCACCATCATTTTTTAAATTTATAATTATAAATATATATATGTATATATTATATAAGCGGCTAAAGCCAAGCCAAAGACGAGTCGAGGCTAGATGTGACTCTCACGTGTCGCCCACACCTTGTCTGTGTGGGAAAGTTGGGGACGTCATTTTCTCTTACAAATTTCGGCGTCAAACTCTACCGGCCTGCTTCGATGTGGACCGTTGATGTATATCTCTGATCTCAAACCTCACCTTTACATCATCAAACCACTGTCGATAGTGGGCCCTTCCACTGCGCGCAGTTTTTCCAGTTATTAACCCTTTGTCCCCACCAACCTTAGTATATACCTACCAACCCCACTCTCTTCACATATATTATACGCATATATATATATATATACACAAACACATACATACATTACACTTTTTGCACTTATATAAAGCCATTGAGAGTAGCATGATGTGCATAAGTGTTTAGTAGTGTAAGAGAGCCTATATAACTCATTGGGGGTGAGTTTTCTTGGGACAAGAGAGGTTCTCATTAAACAATGAAACTGATCAATCTTAGACCGCCTATACAGCCATGCACAGTCACACCCAAGAGTCAAGTGCCAATCAGGTGCTGCACTATCACTCAACCAGCTAAGCTCATCAATAACAACAGTTACTTGAGTATGGAGACGAAAGCTCCCAAACACTGGGAACGCTTGTTTCTCGAGTCGGGTACCGATAACTCGGCTTTCTCGCCGGTCAGGCTCAACAAGAGGTGGATGGAGTATCAAGGTGTGAAGAATTGGGAGGGCTTGCTCGACCCTCTCGACGATTGTTTACGCTGCGAGATTATCCGGTACGGCCATTTTGTCGAGGCCGCTTACCGGTCGTTCGATTTCGACCCCTCGTCGGCAACCTACGCCACTTGTCTTCACCCAAGAAGCACACTGCTAGACCGGTCCGGGTATCCGGACACCGGTTACCGGCTTACGAAGAATCTACGTGCCACGTCGGGCATTCAGCTGCCACGGTGGAGTGAAAAGGCGCTGAGCTGGGTGGGTACACAGTCCAGCTGGATTGGTTACGTGGCGGTGTGTCAGGACAAGGAGGAGATTGCGAGGCTTGGTCGGCGTGACGTGGTGATCGCATTCCGGGGCACTGCCACGTGCCTCGAGTGGCTTGAAAACCTGCGCGCCACCCTCACCGGGCTCCCCAATGGCGGTTCGGATACCGGGCCACAGTGTTGCCGGCCAATGGTGGAAAGTGGATTCTTGAGTTTATACACTTCCGCCTCACCAACATGCCCTAGTTTACAAGATTCAGTGAGAGAAGAGATTTCCAGGCTTCTTCAATCATATGGTGATGAACCCTTGAGCTTGACCATCACCGGCCACAGCCTCGGCGCAGCCCTCGCCACGCTGGCCGCCTACGACATCAAAACCACCTTCAAACGCCGCGCCCCGCTCGTTACCGTCATGTCCTTCGGAGGTCCACGTGTCGGCAACCGGAGCTTCCGTCGCCATCTAGAAAAACAAGGCACAAAAATCTTACGTATAGTAAATTCAGATGATCTCATAACAAAAGTACCGGGTTTCGTAGTCGATGAAGATGATGACGAAAAAATGATCAACAACCCAAAAGTCCATATGGTTAATTTTCCTAATCTTCCCTCAAGTTGGATCCAAAAACGGGTCGAAGACACCCAATGGGTTTACGCCGACGTCGGGAGAGAGCTCCGGCTGAGTAGCCGGGACTCGCCTCACCTCTCCGGGATCAACATTGCCACGTGTCACGATCTCAAGACGTATTTACACTTGGTGAATGGGTTTGTGAGCTCAACGTGTCCGTTTAAGGCCACAGTGAGAAAGATGATGAATAAGAAGACGACTTTGGTTTAGTCTAAATTAATCCAAATGACTGTCTAATTGACAAAAGCATGTGTCCGTGCAAATTATACGGACTCACACAGTACATCTATATATGCACATAGTCTAACATTTCCCACCATTCCAGGGTGGGCAAACCCACGTTGATTCTCCTGATTTACAGGCTAGCATACGTGATATGTGTAAATATATAAAAAGTATAGAGGCGCAGGTTATAGTGTTTTTGGGTCAGCTTAAAAAGGCAGACTCTGTTTTATTTTGTAAAGGTAATGTTTTAAGTAAGGTAATTGCTCTTATTTGAGGTCTGTAATTACACGAAATGCCATCACATCACCGACCGCTTCGTGAGCACCCAGAACTGTATAATCACATGCAGCTACTACTTTGTTGTTCTCAACAAATCGTCCGCCGTCCATACCGAACTATTGGCTCGGTTTATCTTGAAATGACAAAAATACCCTCCACTGAAATTTTAACTCTCCCCTTTGATTGTGACTACACTGTGAGTAAAATGAGAAGGAAATAATAAGAGGTGTCCCCAATTAATTTGTCCCTTTCATGGCGTGAATTCTAAAATGATTGTGTGTTTCGTGGGATACATGAGATATTCAGAATATTCAGACTCATAGTAACCTTGAATTAATGAAATAAATCTTCTATTTGACATGGCATATGATTGATGTCATTTTTATGATTGAATCATCGTTATTACCTTCACAAAAATTAACACTTTTAATTAATTAATTTATTTATAGGACTTGAATTCTAAACTTTTTAATTTGAAAGGTGAGAAAGGAAAGTATACTAAGTTATAGTCCGAGCTAGTATTGTTTGGTCATTTGTCACCATCTTTACTAGTGCCTTATACAGTTGCATGCCTTCACTCGATTACATTGTATATTAAATTTATCTGCATTATTTATAATAATCGGAAACTTAATTTTTGTAGATATATATATATTTTTTATTCCCTTAAAAGGGATGGATCTTCACACTCTATTTTATTTTTAAAACTGGATCCTAAAAGTATTTTGGGACAATTATGTAGTGTGGAAATAATTTTGGAAGACAATTAATTGTTTCATTTCATTTTTCTTAAAAAAAAAAAAAAAATTATAGTATGAGAGTACTTTTGTGGGATGCAAGTATCATTTTTCTTATTATAGTTAGATCTCAGTACACAATAGATCATATAAATGATAGCACTTTAAAAGGATTGAGTATGATAAACTAGAAACATGGAGAAATACATTAGAATCTATAGGATTGAGAATTAGTTGAACTAAAATTGAATATATAAAGTGCAAATTTAATAATAATTGGGAGATTGATAATACATTGATAGCACTTTAAATGATTACTCAAACCGATTATTAATTTTTATAATACAAAAGGATGGATGGATGGATAGATCGATAAAGATACAACTTAGTAAAAATTGAAATGAGTTGGACAAAATAGAGGCAAAGTATTGAAATTTTATGTAATAATAGAAGATCACATAAGCTAAGAGGAAAATTAATTTTATAGGATGGAGAAATATAACTAAGACAAACTATGTTTTTTTTCTTTCCGAATGGTAAGATCAACTATGTTTAGATTTTAGAGTGGAGTGTTGGGCCATATAAAAGAATAATACTTGGGTCATTACCGATGAGGATGTATATCATCTTGACTTGTAGAACAATAACAAATTGACACATCCTATTTTAATTACCAAATCAGAGATGATAATTAATCATGTTTTATTTGTCCGCGTTCACAGTGGGGATGGAATACATTCTCAACTGTATATGAGAACATAAGTATTATCCAAAAATGAAATAAGAACAACCCCTTCATGTAGCAAAAATGAGAATGTTAAGATGGGATAAATGAAATAATTAAAAGAGAGGATAGTATCAAAGGAAGACCAAGTGTAACACCCAATGGTTAGAAAATTCCATATGGTAGACTTAATTGGTTTGAATATATATGCATTGGAGATCCTTTTTTTTTTTTTTTTTTCCGGTAATTATATATTGGAGATCTGGTGATGTGCTAAAAGGTAAGAGACGAGATCGGCCAAAAATAACATAAAATGAGGTTCTTAAAAATGGTTTTAAAAAGTTAAATATAGTAAGTGAGTTGATATGTAATAGAAAAGTTAGAAAAAAGGATTCATATATAGTAAGTGAGTTGATTACAATTAATGATCGTTAAATCTTTCAGTACTTAAAATTAGCATCCGAAAGAGTTTTTCTCCATATATGGGATGAGTTTGAAATTAAGTGCGCTCGGTGATCCCTTAGATTTGAGGGATTTGAGCTTTTGATAGAAAGCCATGTGATCTCGCTCTTGCTAGAACTTGTATCTTTCTTTCTTCTCCAGCTAGCTTATACATCTTGAGATAGTATTATTGCTGGTACTTAGTCGCAAAAGGGCATAAGAAATGAGCTGAATTCTATATTATGTCATGAGAATCTCATGCGTTTAACAAGAGGTTAGGATTAATATTCTGGCTTTGATGATATGAATATTGCATAATAATCGCAAGAAATAAATGTGGACAAAATCTTTCACATCAAGTTCAATTTATTTTAATGAAATGTTTGTATTCACATGATCAATCAGTTTTGTGTCAACTGATAATTGCATCTTTGCTCTTGCATCTTCATTATCAACGTGCAACAATACTATGTCCTAGATCATTAGAGTTTTCATATTCCTCATTAGATTATTAGAGATGTCATATTCCTCATTAGAGTTGTCATACTCAGTCCTAGGATGTTGATATAGATTTTTTTTTGTGTGTATATAAGTTTGTTGCATTATTAAAAACAATGATGAAGTAAGATTTTTTCGAAGATATGGTAAAACATGACGATAGTATGTCCTCATGTACCTATCAACAATAAAGGATATAAACTTGATGCAACAATGAAGGGTAGCTAAAGTAATTATAACATTAATTCACTTATGATCGCTAGTCTATTAAATAATAGAGACGGGTGTGAATTAGATCTACTAAACAATAACAAAGTTAGAGCAACAAAAGATACTAAAAATAAGTTTCAGCATTCAAACTTAAATGTCTCATATATGTTTCTCGTTCAACACTGTGCAACAAAGACTTGAAAAAAATATTTGGGAGAGGTTGAGAGAGAAGTAATCTCCACACTTGTAAATGTTAGATGTGAGTTCACCTTTCACATTTATAACCTCAAGTGCGACATTCCAGAATGTTTATATATGTATATATATATAGAAAAACATAACCTTCCAGAATGTTTATATATATGTATATATATGTATATATGTTAGAAAAGAAAAAAGCTTTGAATCTTTTCCAAATTTAAAAACCAACATATGATATATAACCTTTTAAAAATTAAATTTAAATTATTTATATATAATTTCAACCATCCTCCAATCAGAACCACGCATGTTAGAACAAATGTGATACAAGTGGTTGCTTGAAAACCTCATTGTCAACGTGAATGAGTATAGAGATATCCTTAGGGCCCAATATTGCTGCGATTTCAAACTAGACGATGGGCCCATCTCAGCCCACAAAAGAAAAAAAGAAAAAGAAAAAGAGAGAAAACTACAGTACATGGCAAAGTCATACTCTAGTGTGCAGGTGACACAGGCGCTCTTTTCGTTACCCGTTTAAAGAGGGACTGTGAGTGATGAATAAGCATCCGTTCGTACGATTCTGGTGGATTTTGTGAAAGTGAGGGTGACGGTGACGGTGGCGCGTATTGAAATGTGGGGGTGGTCTAATTAGGACGGTGGTCTTCCATCTATAGATGGATGCATCTATGGTCGTAAGCTCATGATGAATAAGCATCCGTTCGTACGATTCTGTTTTGGACTGTGAAGCAATGCCATTCTGTTTCGCAATTTCACAATTTTACTAATATTTATTAGCCACATATATATATTGATATATTTATTTAATTACATAATAGTGTGTACAATTTCATATTGTTTTATTTTTCACTCCATCCCGGCTTCGTTTAACTTTTTCACCTCTACAAACACTCGCCTCTCCCGTTTAGTTCCAGAATTATATATTTCTCCCCCCTCCTAATTTTTTTTTTAAATATAATTATATAACTTGAAAAAATTCATAAAAAATGAGTAATTAATAATTTAATATAAAATTAAAGAATATGAGAGTTCTTAGTTCGTAGGGTCTGTTACTGTCTAGAACGACGGAGAAAGTAAGTGAACGTGACCAAAGCTTTCTAGATCTAACTATATATGATAATAATAAAATAAAAATAATTTAGTAACTTATCTATCTAAATTGAGTGGGATGACCTCCCCAACCATCTCTTAAAAATTGCTATAAATGAGATAGGTACCGACCCTGCGAAGTAAATTGTCATTCATAATTATAAGTGTCACCAACCATTAAAATTCAATTCAAATCAAGCTGAACAAATAAAAATATGTAACTTGACTAGGTGACAATGTGCTACAATTTTCAAAATACAAAAATCTATATATATATATATATATATATATATATATATATATATATATATATATATATTTTAAAAATAAAAGTGTTTCTTACACTTTATTTAATATAGCATGAATTTTTTTTATACTTTACCAATTAATTAATGTCAATATTAGGTTTAACTATTGTTCTTAAAATATTTTTCTTTTAAATACTTTTATCATATTCTAATGTTATGTCATAATTGAAAAGTTGAAAAACATTTTTCAAATTACAGTCTTTTACGCGTCAATGCACAAGCACCTCCTCCAACTGCACTCTCATCCACATACATCACACGCATCCACTCTTATGTGCCCCTAAGAACCACACAACTTACCGTCAAAATTAATTATATATATATATAGATAGATAATTTGTAAGAAATTTATTACACCATGAGCTGAAATAAGAAATTTATTACACCATGAGCGGAAATCGGATTACTATACTTTTCACTTAGTCATATCTTAGTGTGAATAAATTTCTTGTAGGTAAGAGAGAAGTATTGTCGTAACAGTAGCCTTCATAGAAGGAGAGATCATACTATTATTTTAGTAACAGAGATCATACTATTATAGTTAGTGTCCATTGGTATCTATATACAAGAGACTGCAAGGTAAACTAAATATTTAATAGGCAATCACTCAAAATAACCACACATATTTTAAATCCATATTTTTGTGCTTGATGTCCTAGTTTACAATTTACTAGAATTATTTCGATCATAAAACAAGTTCTAGAATCCTTGTCAAACACCAGAAAAATTAGAGAAAAATTATTTTCATATAAAAAGTTTTAGAAACTTAGCCTTAAAGGACAACTGTTTAAGCCAATCGAATACCAACTAATCTCATTCTGGGTAGATAGTATAATAATTTAGGAAGTACGGATACGTCTAAAAGAGCGACGTACAGATACGTGTCAAATATTGATTCTTCACGGATACTCG